GCCTCAGAACAAAGCAATGCTGATAACTCATCCATGGTGATTGGTTCAAATCTTGATCGAATAGAGGTGGTAAAGGCATCAAATTCATCAGGAAGACCATTTAGTGTGAGTAAAACAAGATCTTCATCATCAATGATGACTGAAGCAAGAGCTAACTGATTTACAATTTCTTTGATTTTGAACAAATATTCTTCCCTTGAATCTGTCTTCTTGGCAACACTGTTTAATTTGTTCTTCAACTGATGGACGTGTGATCTAGAAAGCGTAGTAAACCTCTTCTGCAAAGCAAACCAGATCTCAGATGAATGTTGACATTGTAATACAGTAGAATAGATTGTAGAAGACAGAGTTGCTGCAAGACAACTCAACAGATGAGAATCGACAAGATTCCATTGAAGATGATCAGGATTAGGAACCTTTGTTCCAGTTGAATCTGTGATCACAGCAGAAGGACATAAAATTGTTCCATCCACATAGCCAATTAGATTCGTAGCTTTGAGAATATTGTGAATCTGGCTTTTCCAAATCACAAAGTTACTGGAATCAAGTTTCACAGTAATCAATGAAGACAGATTAGAGCTTAACATTGCAAGATTAGATGGAATTGAAGAAGAAGTAGAGAGATCAGCCATTGATGATAGATTGGCCATTGATCTGAGCTCGAATGAGCTTTACAGCTCTGATACCATGATGAAATATAAAATCAAGATTGAATTGATATTATTTGATTCAATGAATGAGTTTTACAGAGTACATTGTATGTATAGAACAGTTGGGGATCGGTTATAACAAACTCCTAATAATATCCTAACCAACTCCTAAGCTAACTGAATCTGTAACTAACTGATCTAATGTGGCTATAGCTGCACTAACTGAAGCTGGAGCTGACTGCACTGCTGAGTTGATATGGAATGAAGGCTTACCTGTTGCGGCTGCTAAGCTGAGCTGAGATGATGATGTATTCTCAACAATTAGATTGGATGAGATTATGAGTACGATAGGATTCAGTGATGAGATTATTAATGTGGTAATATTAGTTTGGATATATATGATAAAGTGTATTTGCTTGTGTACTAGTGTGGTGGCATTAGTTTGTTAGGATTAAATCTATCAAACTACATAAACACCCTCATATTATAAAAATTAGCTTTGTTATTTTTGTAATATATAGGTAAAATTGTCTTTTCACACCCAATCCCATGAAATTGGATTATCAATCCCACCTTTTCTATAAAAAAGCTAATCCCACAATGTAGTGGAATTTATAGTCCTATGGAACTATTATTCCCTTTATATTTTTGTCAACTAAATATGAGTTATGTAAGACTCACAAGATTGCTAGTCCAATCCCTATCTATAGAGCCAAACACCCATGACGTTACGGTTCGGTCAATCCCTTCTATTCACATCTCCATTTGGATGTGTAACGGTTTTCAAAGCTTCAACAAGAATGTATTAAGTAGGGGTGAGCAGCGGATATACCGATCCGCCAAAACCAACCGAACCGAACCGATCCGCCGCATTTTGGATGGATGCGTGATGACGAGCGGACGGTTGCGGATTGATTTTCTCCAATCCGCTAATTTGGCGGACGGATGGCGAATTTGAGGTCCCTTTGGCCGCAACCGAACCGCCAAACCGCGAGCACCCTTAATAATTTATAAGACTTTGTGTTTTCAATTTATTTAAATATTTTGTTTGTGTTTTCAATTGAAAAAGAGTTTAAATATTCTGTTGAAAAAAAGTTTTCAACTTGAATATATTTTTTGAATTGAAAAAAATAAACGTATTATTTATTTATATTTTTTGGTTTTTAAATCTAACTCTAAAAGTAATAAATAGAAAATATGATATATGCTGGTTGATTTTTGTTTTCAAAAACATATATAAATGTAACAATACAGAGACATACAATCTCTACTACTGCTATATTCATGGTTTTGGTGGTTTGAATTGTTTTTATATTTTAATAACCATATATTGTAATACTTTATGTGGATGAGGCATGCTGTGATTGTAATATATGGATGAGGCATGCAGTGATTTTGATATTCTAAAGTTTCAAACTTTATTTCTTTGGATGAGGCATGCAGTAATTGTAATATTTTTTTAAGTCATTGACTGTAAACTTTTTTTTTTTTTTTTTTTTGAGGAAATGTACAAGTTGAACTATGTTGAAAATTTATAAAATTTCAAACTGCCAAACCGATTCGCATCCATCTACCAAACTACCAATCCGCTCAATCCACATCCGTCGGATTGGTGGACGGATGCGGATTGATTTTCTCCAATCCGCCAATTTGACGGACGAGTGACGGATTGGAGGTTCCGTGGCCGCAACCGACCCGCGCCCACCCCTAATATTAAGATTTGAATTATCATCTTGTTGATGATTTCTCCCTCCAATAATTTTTTGGAGAAAATTGAAAAATAATAAAAACAGTTATAAAATAATAAAATTTTTATATATACATAAAATTTATATAAAAAATTTGATAAAAATAATGTGATAATATCATTATTATAAATAAATTGATCTTTAATAATGTTTTACTTTGAAGTGATAGGTTCACAATGCGTGTCATCATTTTATGAATTTTTTATTGGTATATTGGTACTCATAAAATAATTATACAGATAAAAAAAAATTGGATACAACTCTGACATACATGAAAGATTTGTATTAAAAGCATGAATGGACTTGTATCATACACACAAGATTGTACAACTATAAAAATAAAATTATGTTTTCATTATTCCACTAAAAAGCAATTTCTTCTTATTTTTTCTTGTCAGAGTTATGATATTCTTTAAGTGACAATTTGTTTACATATGTATTTGTGATTTATTTTTTTTCATAAAGACAAATATAATAAAATTATGTAGTAATAATTATCAAACTAATCTAATTTTATTTTTTATAAATAATTCACATACAATAATTTGAAAATTGAACAGATTGAATTACCAAAATGAAGTTTGCAATAATAGCTCCATGGTTACATTTACTAGCTCTTTTTATTATCTATTTCACAACCCAATTACATAATTAGATACAACTCTACATGAGATAAGTTTCATCATTCATTTTGTGAGTTCCACGTCTATATGATAGGATTGTGTTTGAATTTTGTGGGTCTCATATTTATATGATAAGATTATGTTCTGTTCTATAATCAAATGTCTAAAACAAGTGAGTTAGTTGAAACCTCAAGGGATTAGTGGCTTGAAACTTGGGACTTAGAGTCTACTCTTTTTATGTCTTAGATTCGATTCCTCCAACCAACATAAAATTCTTGAGATTGCTGGAAAAGCCTATTTTTGAAAGGCTTGCTCAGACTAACTGGCCCATCCTGCATAACTTAAAAATAAATAAATAAATGTTAGTTGATAAAGGGCTACGTGTTAGAGCTGTGACGAATTCCAAAGTGATGACCGTTGAAGTCTTCCCCATGCATGGCATACAAGTGTCTTCTCCATGCCACCAGCTTACTCCTTCCGTCAAATTACATATACATATATGACATATTCATTATCTATTTCTCTAGAGCTTTTGTTGCATACCACTCTCTACATGCATGCAGATCATACTAATATGAGTAGCCAAGACTTTGCTATTCTCACCACAATGTCCACTCTCTCTTCAATCTCATCCAACGTCTTCATCAAAAAAACAATCCCACTCTACATATCTACTAAATCATTTCTCATGAAACCCCAAAACATATCTCTGTTTCAGGCCACCAGTGGTTAACCCAAAACCTAACTGACCCACCATCAAAAACTCCGCCGGAGTTCCCTTCGCCGCCCGACACCAAACCTTCTGTGCCGCCGGAGGTGCCTTGGACTCCGAATGTTCCGGATTTTGGCCAGAGAAGCTCGCCGATCCTCCGCCGCTGTCACCCGGGGCCAAACCCGGAGTTTCCGGGCCCACCAAATCCGGAGCTGCCGGTTCTGGATGAACCTTGGCCGCCAATGCCACCGGGTCCGGAATGGCTACCGAAGGTGTTTCCGCCACGTGCACCAAAGGTTGTACTGCCGAAGCCACCGGAGGTGGGGCTGCCGCACCCATTGCAGCCAGATATTTCACCACCTGTGTCTAGCTGATTCAAGTGGACGATCCACTTTTTCAAATCCAATGTGACAATCTATTAGAAAATCTAAAAGGACTTTCTCTTTTATACATTCTTTAATTATCAGTTAATTATATATTTTAGGCATCATTAAACTTAAAAAATTGATCTATAAAGTAGAATTGCATATCATTTTTTTTTTGGATTATTTGGTTTCTGGGGTGTGGAGTGGCTCGTGTACGGCATTTGAATTCATCGTGTGGTTTTCATTGTTAATCAAAAAGGAAATTTAATCAATTCGGTAATTTTGCATGCTAAAATTTTATTCCAAAACATCAATGTATGGCTCGAACTCGTTCTAAACAAAGATTTTGCAATACATCAATTTATTTCAATTTAATAAATAAGTGTTTTTACTGACCTGACAATTCCCATATGTTTGCCATGGAGAGGCAGGACGATGAGTGTGAGTCGCAACAGCCACCATAGCACCACAAGAGCCGAGCACAGAAGGTAGTAATTCCCCCGTGTAGCAATTGGCAACCTTTTCTTCTTGTTGGGTGTTTTGGAAGCAAGTGTGTTTTTAAACTACAAAGAAATCAATCTAAAACACACAAAATCAGATCTGGTATTTTTTTGTTTTTTTTTTTTTTTTGTTTTTGGCAGAAAATAAAAAAGAAGAGAGCAAAACAGAGGAGAAAAGAGGTCACCATTGAACAACCCCTTGAGCATATTTTTTCTGTTCACTTTCTAGCTTCCCTTACAAGCTTTGTATATGTAATTATATCAATCCAAGTACAACAAAACATCTGCATAAATTTTCTCCACATAAATTAACTCTAATTAACAAAACTCAACCCAAAACATAACTAGAGTTAACTAAACATAAGTGATTGTTTGGATACAAAATTAAACAAGCACATTACATCAACATTGCTCCCCCCTAATGTGCTGCTCCATAACTCTAAGTAACTCCCTGAAATGCTGGAACTTTTCTTTGTAAAGAGCCTTAGTGAATATATCTGCAATTTGTTCATCTAACCTGCAGAATTTGAGCTCCACTTCACCTTCTTCAATTGCTTCCCTAATAAAATGATGTTTAATTGCAATTTAACGAGTGTGGCTGTAAAAAACCGGATTCTTAGCCATGGCAATAGCTGATTTGTTGTCACAAAAATTTTATGTACTATATTATTGCTTTTGGCAAATATCTTTAAGTATTCTCCTCAACCAAATTTCTTGGGAAGTTGCCAAACCCGCTGAAACATATTCAGCTTCTACAGATGATTGTGTCACACTTTGTTGTTTCTTTGATGCCCAAGAAAATACTCCAAAACCCAAGGAAAATGCATACCTGGAGGTGCTTTTCATATCATCAGTGCAGTCACCCCAATCATTATCACAAAAATCAAACAATTTCACATTTGAATCTTTGCAATACTTGATACCATAGCTGGTTGTGCCTCGAATATATCTCAAAACTCGTTTTGCAGCACCAAAATGATTTTGACTGGGATTATTCATAAATCTAGAAAACAAACTTACAACATACATTATATCTGGCCTTGTAGCTGTAAGATGCAACAAATTTGAAACCAAGCTTCTATACAATGAACCATCAACTTTTTTCTCTTCATCTTCCTTTATAAGTTTTTCATTCACAACTAGTGGTGTGGCCATGGGCTTACAACCACTCATGCCGAATTTCATTAAAAAATAAATACTCCATCTTCAACTTGATAGATTTCAATTCGAAGAAAATGATTCAACAAACCCATGTCACTCATTTCATATCTTCCCATCATGTTATTTCTAAATTCTTCAATCATTATCTCATCATTACTGGAAAATAACAAATCATCAACATACAAGGCAACAATAAGAATTGACATAGCTTGATTTTTTACATATAAGGTTGGCTCACTCTTGCTCTTCTTGAAACCATTGTCGATGAAATAGAAATCAATTTGGCTATACCATGTTCTTGGAGCTTGCTTCAGCCTATACAATGTTTTTTTTTCAATTTATACACCTTGTCTTCATTCCCTTTCATTAAAAACCCTTGGGGTTGTTCAAGATACACTTCCCTTTTCAATTCTCCATTTGAAAACGCAGATTTAACATCAAGTTGATATAATGACCAACCTTTTTGGGCTGCTAAAGCAATGAGAGCTCGAATGGTGTCAAGTCGTGCAACTGATGCAAATGTTTCTTGAAAATCAATTCCAAGCTATTGTGTGTACCCTTTCATGACTAGCCTTGCCTTGTTTCTTTGGAATGAACCATCCGAATTCAACTTTACTTTATAAATCCACTTCACCCCAATGATTTCCTTGCCTTGTGGTGTTTCAACCAATTCCCATGTGTTGTTCTTCTCAATGACTTCAATTTCTTCTTCCATTGCTTTCTTCCAAGCTTCCTCTTTAATTGCTTCTTCAAAACTTCCAGGTTCCATTACGCAAAAATTGCATCTAGCATACACATCACTCCAACTCTTTTTTTTTTTTTTTTTGGAGTTGAGCTAGGTGAGGATGAATTAGAATTTGAGCTTGAACTTGGAGAAGAGCTGGAAGATGATAATGAACCTACCCTTGGTGAGAAATGATGTGAATCTTCATTGTCTTCATCTTCATGTGTTGAATTTTCTTGCTTCTCATCAACTAGGACAGATTGCTTCTCAATTTTACCTTTCTCCCAATTCCATGAAGTATTCTCATCAAATAACACATCCCGTCTGATTATATAATCTGATTTTTTTTCAAGCTATACAATCGATAACCCTTGGATTTGCTGCTACATCCCACAAAGATACATTTTTCACTTGTTTCATCTAATTTGCTTCTTCTTTCCTTTGGAATTTGAGTATAGCAAACACATCGAAACACTTTGAGATGTTTTACTAATGGCTTTCTCCCATTTCAAGCTTCTATGGGAATTTCGTTTCAAACGGCTTTGGTAGGACATCTATTTATCAAGTACACTGCTATGTAAACAGCTTCAGCCCAAAATTCTTTGATAGCCCTTTTTCATGTATCATAGATTTGGCCATTTCCATCACCATTTGATTCTTTCTTTCAGATACTCTATTTTGTTGTGGAGTATAACCCACTATTAGTTACCTTTCTACACCTTCATCTTCCCAAAATTTGTCAAACTCCTTAGAGTTGTATTCTTTGCCATTATCACTTCACAAAGTTTTTATGTAGTGCCCACTTTGCTTTTCCACCATGCTCTTGAATCTCTTGAAAATAGTGAACACTTCAGATCTTTCCCTCATGAAATACACTCATGTCATCCTTGTGTAGTCATCAATAAAAAGAAAAAAGTACTTGTTTTGGGCATGGGAGGGAGTTCTCATAGGCCCACAAACATCCGTATGAACTAACTCTAACATTTCTTTGGCTCTCCAAGCAACTCCTTTGGGAAAAGGTTGCCGATGATGTTTCCCAAGTGTACACCCTCACAAACATCATGTATTTCCTCAATACTTGGAAGTCCTTGGACCATATTCTTTTGGTCAGGCACTTTGAGACTATGACAATTCAAATGCCCAAGTCTTCTAGGCCACAACCATTACTCATCATTCGTATGAGCTTTCAAAGCAACATTTCTAACATAGTTGAATGTGAGTGGAAAGCTTCAATTCTTCTCTATTTGAATTTTTGCCTCCACTTGCGTTGCATTTCTATCATGAATGGTGCAGCTGTTAGCTTCAAAATGGACTACATATCCATTTTTAACAAGTTGTCCAACACTTAGCAAATTTTTCTCTAAGTCTAAAACAAGCAACAAATCATAAATAAAATTAGTCCCCTTCTTTGTTTCAACTCTTATAGTTCCTTTTCCCTTTGTATTTACTAACACTCCATTTCCCATTTTAACTTGAGAGCAAATTGAAGTGTCCATGTCTAAGAAAATAGACTTATCATTTGTCATATGATTGCTACACCCACTATCAACGTACCAAACATCAATTTTGTGTTCTGAGGCTGCTTGACAAGCATAAAATAAGTTTCCTTCTCTATCTTTCTCCTTTGAAAAATTAGCTTGTTGATTGCTCTTGACTTTCCAGTCCTTTTGGAGGTAGCCAAAATTTATTGCATTTATAATATTGTGGTTTCCCTCGGAACCAACAATCCTTCTCTGGATGATTTCTCCTTTTCACAAATTTCGCACTTTCTTGTATTTTCTTCCACACTTGAACTTCTATCAATATTGCTTCTACCTCTTCCCCTTGATGAATTTCTTCCTCTACCTCTTCATCTTCCTTGTCTACTATATCTTGATGATTCCCCTCTTGTTTGTTTATTACTTGATGATTCTCCATGACTTTTAGAATACAAATTAACTTTTGATTAGAATGCACTCTCCAGAGGCTTCTTTTATTGTTTTAATAACCTTTGTTCAGGAGCTTTCAAAGAACCCATCAATTATTGGACACTCATTTCAGAGATATCATTTGTTTCTTCAATTATTGTCACCATTGTGTTATATTTTTTTTTGGTAAACTAACCAGAATTTTCTCAACAATTCTCTTTTGTTCAACTCTTTCACCATATGATTTCATTTGATTGACAATCCCCATCAGTTTAGAGAAATAATCAGTTAAAGTTTCAGATTCTTTCATCTTCAAATATTCTAACTCCCTTCTAAGAGTTTGGAGTTTGATGATTCTTATCTTTTTATCTTCTTGAAATTCTTGTTGTAAAATGTCCCATGCTTCCTTTGATCTCTTGCCTTCAATGATTCTTAGAAACAACTCATCAGAGAGTGCTTGTTGGATGAAGAAGAGTGCTTTAGCATCCTTTTTTTCTGGTTTCCTCTAGTTACTGCTCTTGTGCTAAGGTTAATGTAGTTCCATAAACATTGGGACTGAAATAAGGTCTTCATTCTCACACACCAATAATCATAATTTTCTCCAGCAAAAATAGGCATAGGTGGTTGCTGGGTACCCATACTTTGGTTGCTTGAGTTAGCCATGGAGATTTTCTGCAAAACCCACTTTTCTTTTTCACACACCTCCTATTTTCATCCCTCTTTTTCAAATCCAAGCTTCCACTTTGAAATCGGCTTTGAGACCACTTTATGTTGGGTGTTTTGGAAGCAAGTGTGCCTTTAAACTACAAAGAAATCAATCCAAAACACATAAAATCAGATCTTTTTTTTTTCTACAGAAAATAGAGAAGAAAAGAGCAAAACAGAGGAGAGAAGGGGTGTAGACTCGACTTTCTTCCCGCGCCCCCTCTTCAGAGAGGTTTGAATTGGTCTCCTATAGTTCGGACTCCTGTCACGATTCTGAATCTAATCTCACAAAGTGCAATGTGAGACTGATAAACACAAAAGAGTCCAAATCTAGCAATGGATTTTGGAAAATCAATTTTGAAAGAAAAAACGCCAAACATGGACTACTTTGCCAGATTACAGAGTCGCCACCTAAATATTTTATTTTAGAAAATTTAGGAAATCATGACTCGTGCCAAAGGCCACGTGTCTGTCATCACCAAAGTTGCCTTGGCTCGAGAACTTGGGTACAAGAGGGGAAGGTCCTAGAATGAGCACCCCCGCTTGCCCGATCAAAGATCGGCCTCTACTAACATGATATGTTGTTTGATAAACACATGTGTTCTTATTCCGGTTATTAATCTAACTTTACTAGGTGATGCGCACAGCATACAAGTATAGACTCAATCACGAGAATTGGAACAAAACAACTCATATTTGTTTTTGAAAATGGTTTAAAAGTGCTACTCGCAAGTAGGCTAAAGCGTGGATTTGCTACCCTCAAGTGGGCTTTAAAACATGATTTTGCCATTTTGCAAAGTGAGCTTAAAACTCACAATCATCGAGTCGTCCCAATTCATGCAACTAAGCCTCCACCCACAAGCATTCAAGCAGTTAAGCACTTAAGCAAATAGCCTCATGGCAAGCATGCGAATCATGGCAACACTCACACTCATGTAAGGATGCTAAAGCGTAAAAACTTACAGTGTACTCCGAGCAAAAACAAAAACTAGTTAGAAATAATGCATGATCCTAACCATGTAAGATGCCTAATGCAACACATGCAATAATGCAACTAATAGGCTCGGCTATCTTAGATGGCATATGAATGCAACAGTTCGATAACATTCTTTGAAACACGTATTCAAATAAGTATTGAAATACGATGTAGTTTGAATGATGTGCCGAGCCCGGGTGCATGCAAGACAAATGAATGATGTACGCATGCAAGCATAAGGTATGCTAATTGAAAATGACCCTAAACTAACCATCGCAAGCAGTTAAGTAATAGGGAAAAAGAAATGAGGTTGGAAGACATACACAAACACACGCACGCTTATTACAACATTGTGCCCTCGCGAAGGAAGGTCTGAATAAATAAGCTAAGCTACACTAAACTAAGCTAATTATTACAAAACAAATTAATCAACTATGCTAGCTAATTAATTATTACAACACAAATGAATTCAAACAACTAGCTATTCTAAGCTATTAAGTACAATACTCTAGTCAAATAATTAGCTAACAACTAACTAGTTAAAGCAAGTAAAGCGGCCTTGCGGACGAGGGAGATATGCATGCTCAGCTGCTTTCCTCCCGAAAATCCGTCACTTTACCGTCGGTTGCCTCTGTTTACACTTGCCTCGGTCTTTGAACATCGAACCAACATTTCAGACTGC